TTTACCTTTCTTTTTTTAAGTAGCTCTCTTTGACAATGTAATCGTAGCAGCAGCAAATTTTCTTTGAATGCTTGCTCTGCATCAGATTAAGACCTATGTGAGGATACTGAGGGCATAGGGAATGTTAATTTGATCAATGTCACTTGGTACATGGAAGAGCCAGTACAGTGGGGCCTGACTTACGAGTTTAATCGGTTCCGTGACGGAGCTCATAACTCAATTTACTCGTATGTCAAATCATAAAGTGAACGAGGGAGACACTTGATGCTGGGCTGATTTTGTGGCGTTGACTGTGACGTTCGCTGCGCCAACTAGCGGTAGGGTATCTGAAGCTGGCTCGTAACCCGAATTTTAGCTCGCAACTCAAAGCAAAAAATTGGCTGAGAGACGGATCGTATCTCGAAAAACTCGTTAGTCCGGGACACTCTTAAGTCAAGCCCCCACTGTTTTTGTAAATCGTCTGTCAGACGCCCGAGCAGACCGCCTCGAGTCAAGGTAGTCCCACCGCAGGTCCGGCCCAGCTCGAATGGCAGCGCCAAACAGCGCTCCGCATTCTGATTGGCCCGCTCCGTTTTTCAAAATCAGGACCTCGGAGGGTGGCCAGATGCTGCCTGTCTAGCGAGGTGCGGGCGAAGGGGAGACTACGGAGGGTGTGCGGAAACAAATTTTTTAAAGCATGAAAAGAAATCTGAATTTCACTAGCTCCTTCATAGCCATATTTTAGAGGAAAATACTTTATAAAGACTACTTTAATACATTTGGCCTGCTCCTGCGACAATATATTTGGGGAAATGTAATAGACACCTTATCGTTTTTTTTAGCTTGGCTAAAGCCGAAGGCCCCCCTACGGAGAAACCGCTTCTACGGAACCCGAATTGGGACAAGTGCAGTCAGGATTCACAAACGCCGAGTTTAGTAACTAACCTAGCGGCGTTTGGTGGGAATTTCGGCTACGGAAACTGGCCCAATTGAGAGGACTGGTGGTGACGCTCAAATCTTAGCGCATAGGTAGTTAAATATAGTGAAGAAAGCCTGTCATGAGAGAATAGAGTGCAGGAGGGATGCGAGATCCGCGGGAGGCGGCAGCCGCAGAAGCTGCGTTGGGTGGGATTGGACCCGGGACTGGGGAGGAACCCGGCCCCAGCACCACGCACCGCTGAAAGCTCGGTTGTCCTGTTGACCAACAGGACTGCACATATCCTTGTCCCTTCCCCCCCGCCGCCCCCTCACCGCTTTCCATTCTGAGACATCGGCAGCGATCCCATCGGGGTGTTCTCCATATTCTGAGATGTAATTATTTCAGTTCCTTTGAAGCCATCTATTTGTACGCCTTGGCTTTCCTCCTCTAGGTCTGAGTCCCTTGAGACGGCTGGAGCCAGGTTCATGTTTACTTCCCACAAAATGTAGCCCAGAACTTTGAATTAAGTTCTCATTGATGCCTTTTGAATGAATAAATGAATGAATGAATGAATGAAGGAAGGAAGGATTCCAATTAACAAGAGCTTTCAGCTACCCCTCTTATACAGTTAGATAAACAAACAAACACACAAAACACCTAGAGAATGAAAATTAAAAGGCTCTAGATATGGGAAGAGAGCACGCAGGGAAACCTGTATGCCAACATGGCTATGTGCACAGACTCCAGATCCCTAGGTCGGTGCAGCGTTAAAAAGCAGAAACCTCATCCAATAAACGTGGGGATTTAAACCAGTTCCTTTGTCTCAGGTCCTCTAGGGGCCTTTCATACACCATTATGCATTAGAACTTCGCAATAAAAGGAGGGAATTAGGCTGCACGTCCTAGTGCTTGATGGCTGAATTATTTCCTGTCTCGTTATTTCAGAGCACTTGGTTGGTGTTTGAGGAATAAGCTTTGGTGCTCGCTGCACCATGTTCACCTAAACCAGTGGTTCTCAACCTTCCTAATGCCGCAAACCTTTAATACAGTTCCTCATGTTGTGGCGACCCCCAACCATAAAATTATTTTCGTTGCTACTTCATAACTGTAATTTTGCTACTGTTATGAATCATAATGTAAATATCTGATATGCAGGATGTATTTTCATTGTTACAAATTGAACATAATTAAAGCATAGTGATTAATCACAAAAACAATATGTAATTATATATGTGTTTTCCGATGGTCTCAGGTGACCCCTGTGAAAGGGTCCTTCGACCCCCAACGGGGTCGCGACCCACAGGTTGAGAACCGCTGACCTAAACCATTGAGAACACCGTTCGGGACTGCTCTTCTCACGCTTATTGGGCTTTCCCATCTCTGCACTCACACTGTCTCCAAGGTTTAGCCAAACATTTCTGTGGCCCCTCTGATCTAAGAAATCTGGACACAGTTGTAGATTATATATTTATATGTGTGTTTTCATTAAAAGAAGGAGAAAATACAGTGGGTATGAGGAAAGTAATAGTTTGAAATCATCAAGGGCCTTTCAAGGATGGACAGTCCATCAGTCTGAAACATCACTGGCAATTCTTGCTTGATCCTTGAAGTAAGCAGACAAGGATAGAGAGGTTTATGCCACTCTCCAGAATAAGGCAGGGGTAGTGTGTTGTTTGGGTTCTCCAAGAAGTAGACACCCAGACAAGATCAGATGTGCAAGAGATTTATTGGGGGGAGTGCTTGCTGGTACTTTCTTTTGCCACTCACAGAGAAAATTTACAAAAATGGGAAAGAAATGATCTCAGAACTCACACAACAAAGTTTTTTTTTTTTTTTTTGTAATTTAGAAGGGAAGGGAAGGGAGAACCTCAATTACAGCAGTTCTAAGAAATTTTGGCCAGGCTGATGGGGAGAGCCTCACTTAATGTCACATGTTGGAAGAGTCTTGTATCCCACAGGAATGGACCAACACTAGTACCCTTCAGTCATTGGCCGGGAGCAGCCCATGAAGCAAATGCCTTGGTGGGTCCAGCGGGCCAGCATCTGGGACCCTCAGTCAGCTATTCTCCTTACAGCAGGAAATCTGAGTGGTAAATTTTTATGGACACTAGGAGGAATGACGTCAGATGACCGTGGTTTGAATTCCAGCTCTACTACTTAATTACGGGAAAGTTATCTAACTTAATGCCTCCTCTGTAAAATGGAAATTTTTAAAGTATCCACCTCAAAGAGTTGTTATGAGAATAACATAACTCGTGTGAAATTCTGAGCATTTTGCCAAGAACATTGAAGATTTCAAGATGTTAACTATTCTTATTATTACGGGTACTTGTAACTGGTACCAGTCAAAAGTCTCAGCCCTCAGGGAATTCTGACAGCTGGATAAAACGCTGAAAAGTGGAAGAAAGTCTTTACCGGTGTGCTGTACTGTGTGTGTAGAACTCTGTTCTAGGATCTTTCTAATGTGATCCTTTCTCTCTGCTTCTTAGAACTAAGTTATTCTCTCCTGAATTTCACTTACAAACACTAATATAAGGGAAAAGGACAGCATCCCCATTTCCTTGCTAGGGTGACATGGCTAGTATGGGGACCCTCACCCCATCTTTGCAAGTTTCCCTTGAAGAGTTTAGTGTGTTTATTTGTTCCGTGTGCCTTCTGCAGACATCAATGGTGCTGTAAACAAAGGAGAGTTCCAGGCTCAGTTGAGAAAATTACGGAATATTGAAAAGGTCATGGGAGTAAAGTATTATCACTATAATCCGCAGAATACATGAAGCACCAGTGCCTTGACTTCTGATGAGAATTTACAGGGGATGAGAAAAATAAACTCCATCAGTGCATTTTTATGGCCAAAATTAAAAGAGGGGTAGATCCACTTAACCCCTGCCAGTAATCTTAAATTCATTGAATTACCTTCTGTGTTCATGGAATTCTGTGTCTATGGAACTCGATGTAATGGGGAGCTGTTATTGTGGTGGAACCTTTCCTGGAGACAAAAGGAGAGAGAATAGGTGCGTGATAATAGACCCAGCTGGTGAGACATCTTCACACATATGGGACCAGGTTAATAGATAACTGAGAGTTAATGGTTTCTCAAGGATGTTGGGCACCTGACCTCCTGGGTCTATGATGTCGACTGGCTCAAATGCATGACCTGTCTTTGTCCTTCCATGGGCCTTGCAGCAGGGACAGCTCTACACTGATTCTATTCCTCTGCACCACACCAAGCAGAAGGGGTTTTTCATTAACGATAGTGGCTTTGCAGCACATGAAAAGCGTTATCAGAGAGAAACGTGAAGCCAAGTGGATATCTCACATCCAGACGAGGGTCCTTGATACCTACAGGAATTCTGAGTGAAGCAGCTATGGGGCCTGGTTTAGCACTATTTCTAGGAAATACTCCCTATGAAAATTTACCTGGGGAAGAACTTACCCACCTGTACAATCTCACAGCTAAAATTGCTACTGGTGTTACTGTCTAACCTTCTGCAGAAATTAAATTACTCTGCCATCTGAGCAGCTCCATCCAGGGAAGAGGCAGAGGGAACTAGTATTTATTGTATACAACATGCCCGGCATTAATCCCTACAGCATCCCTAGGAAGTGGTACTATCCCCATTTTACAGG